GATAAGTTTCTTTTGCATAGATTTTATATCAAATAAATTTCTTTTGAGTGAATTACGTTATAACATTCTAGAACAATTTTGGTGTGAGTTATTCAGGAAAAAAAGTTGTACAAGTTTGGGGGGGTTTTATCACCCTGTAAATATAGTCTATCTATCTATCTATCTATCTATCTATCTATCTGTCTATCTATCTATCTATCTATCTATCTATCTATCTATCTATCTATCTATCTATCTATATATCTATCTGTCTATCCATCTATCTATCTATCTGTCTGTTTGTCTGTTTGTCTATTAGCTTACCAGGTGGTGTATTTGTCTGTACATTAGTCTCTCTAATTTTTAAAAAGCTAGTAGTCTTTGTATATCACTTGTGCTTCAGACTGTCTTCAACACTAACAAAAGAAGACAACATATCTTGTAAAGGAATACCTTCAGGACTACACCAGAGAGAATGACACTGCTCTGGCCGCCCTAAAACCTCCATAATAGTCTCCTCTCTGGGCGTAGCCTTGGGTCAGAGGTAAGATTACGTCGTCAACGAAGGATTACTCTCCCAAAACGACCTGATTGCCAACTATCGCTCCGTTCCTTTTTTTCTCTAACTGTTGTGTATTCGAGTGAGTAAAGAGGTACGGAGATATGAATACATGAATATTTCCTTGTCGTAAAAATACTCATAGTTCCACTCGATATCCTGGGGCCGTTGCATTGCCACAAGACAAGGCTTTGTGTAATTCAGAGGCATCAGAGTTAAAATGTACAACCCACGCACAAAAAATCTTTGGATAGCCGAGCTTAAGGTTTCAGACAGACTACTTATGAGGCCACAAACTAAGTTTGTCGGCACTGGTACATCTCTAGCTATATAGAAGAATGAAACAAACATTATGTGCCGTTCTGTCCTCACTGGGAATCTAGATTTGAGTGCTGTAGGGTATCATGGTCATTTTTTTAGAAAACCAGTTAGCTAAAAAAAAAAAAGTGGAAGGAAAATATCTACCTAAAACTTAGAGGAATGCAATGGGGTGGGTTGATGGTGGGTTAAAGGGTGGAGAATAGACGGTACCATTTACGGGAATAGAAAAAAAGAAAGAGAGAGAGAGAGAGAGAGAGAGAGAGAGAGAGAGAGAGAGAGAGAGAGAAGAGAGAGAATTGTAACTATACATAAAAGGCAACCATGTCCCCACGCCCCGCCCCTTGTTCGCCTTCCCTACCACCCACCAACGTATTGCATTCCTCTAAGTTTTAAGTTGATACCTTCCTTACACGTTTTTAACTTGGAAGTCATTTTACATTTCTTCTTTTTAACAGCAAAGATATAACAAATATCACGGAACTGAAGAAAAAAATGAGGAAAAAAAATGTGTTTAGCGTTAACTCATGTATTGTACTCTTTCGATTTAAATAGCTTGGGATGTGAAAAATGCCAGTTCTTTATGCCAGTATTTTTTGCGTTACTGTAAGTCTGAGAGTATAATTATACATTTTTGTTTGATAGAAAAAATAGTGCAGAGAGAACGAAGGGGGCGATAGAAAGAATGATAGACTCAAAAAGATAAAAAGAACGAAAGATGTACGTGCACGAACTTCCGGAACAGAAACAGGAAGCACTTTATCCAAAGTACAAAAAGCCCAATTGGTACGATGTGTACAGCCCTAGGGAGGGGGGGGGGAGAAAAGGAAGACGAAAGGACAAAGAAATAAACAAATCCAGGATGTCATTTCCATGTCCACAGTCCCACTTCTCGTCGATTTTCAGCCCGAAAGCTCTGCCACTTGCTAAGTGTATGTCAAAGCTGTCACATTCAGATTCTCACTTTTATTACGTTCACACTCTCCAGCATAAAGAAATAGGGAATGAAACAAACACACATACACACACACACATACACACAACACACACACACACACACACTCATGCAGACATATGCACACAGAATGGAGGAGATAGAGAGAGAGAGAGAGAGAGAGAGAGAGAGAGAGAGAGAGAGAGAGAGAGAGAGTGAAAGAGAGATTGGGAGGGGGGCGAATAAAAATGATTTCACAAAATGGAATTGCAAACCCAGAGAATGATCGAGACGCAAGTAAACTTTCTGATTGATTTTGCACTCGAAGGGGAATCTTGGTGAAACTATATCCACAATTAATCACGAAGGCAAATTGGCTCACTGACAAGGAGCACATTGAGTCCGTGGATAGCCAAAAAAGAAAAGGTTCGAAAATAGATCTGCGGCAGGCATCGAAAAGAAGTTACAAGTACAGGGTCATCCCCCAAAAACTGTGCAACCTTTTTTCTAAATATCTCGCTCAAAATTTGTACTAGAGTGTTGTAATTTGGAACAAATATAATCCATTCAAAAGGAATTTGTTTGACATACAATTCACAAAGAAGAAATGTATTTTCGAAAACGGAAAGGCTTTTATAAAAACCACGCAAAATGCATCAATTTAAAAGATCTTGTAAGGGAAGTCTTGAAATGATTGGGGCTTTTTTTTCTTTCCTTTTATTCTAAAATCTAATATTTCCATCGCTGTAATCTTTTAACAATATTTTTTTTCTCCTACAGAGTTAAACAACACATTTTTACATTCTTGATGTCAGAGATCCAATGGTCCATAGTATGTCCTCCTTTGTACTTGAGACATTTTAACGCGTCTTTTGTAATGTTCAGTGGTGGGCAAACACGAGGATCCACTCAACCATGAATTCTCAAAGCCACATACACTGTGCACCTTTCAGTATGGACCTGTTTCTAGAGACAATGGGGGGGAGTGAGGTTGCCAAAATAGGCAGTATTTGTGGAGTTGATATAACCTGAAATGTGAATAATATGGGCTTTGCCAATAACCAAATGTCATTGGGGTTATGTTCACGCTTTTCAAGACGATCGAGGAATCATGAATACATTGCTTTCCTCTGATAGCTTCTGGGACGTGAAAACGGTACAGTCGTAGATGAAGACCTGCCTTTAGAATGGGGACGGTTGAGATATACAGGAAAGTCATTGCTGCAGACATCGTCTATGGACAGACGTCCCATGGGGCTCATCAGACTGACTTCTGCACCCTGGTGACGTTCAAAGGGGTGCGGACGGTGTGTGTTTGACCTGAAGTGGTCGTTTTGTCTGGGGATTGTTAGTTCCGATTCTCTACAGGTCCTAACAGATGGACCATTTCCACCCTTGACATCAAAGAAGGCCTTAAGGGCAGTTTTACATTATTTCCGTACCTTGTGCAAAACTTACGAAATGAGTAGGTGGTGAGGAAATTATGTTCAATACAAAAAGCTCTCTGCTCTTTATTAATCTTAAGCATGATCTCAGCGGGGAGAAGGAAACTTGAGAAAAACTATCTGCAAACTTCTGTTGGCCTGTAAGACAACTGTTGTTTGCAATGTGGTGCAATCGTTGGGATTTTTAGTGGTAGGCCTAATGCGAACAATTGCGTCTTTCTGTAAAATATGGGGACATAGCTGAAAATGGGTTGGGGTTTTTTACGTGCTATGTAGAGCAAAACTGTTTTGTGGATTTATCTAAATCTATAATGAAGACTAGACAAATTCCTTTTGACTTCCAAATGTTGTGTACAAATTTGAAAACACAAAACTTCAGCGTGGAGGAAAATATTAACGAAAAGAGTTGTACAGTTGTTGTTTTTTTATCACCCTGTATTTACTTCATATCTCAATCATTTTTTCATGTCAAACAGTTTTGTGTTACATTGGTGTTTACGAGTACTCAAGCAAAATATTATGTTGAGAGTCGCGTGGTTCGAAACATTCTGGTCTGTATAAAAATCATAAAGCGGCATTTCTAAAAGGTAATAAGATGAAAGGGACAGGCAGCTGAATAAGAGTTGATTGCTTACCGTCTTGTTGATTCTACAGGTTCGTTTTCTCATAATCTGATAAAAATTAAACTGGGTAGCCTGGACATTATATTTAATACACGTTTACATCAATTTAATACTGTTTCACTTTTTTTAAAATTGCGCTATGTTTTCGGATTCTTTTAAATTTCAAACTCATGTTATACAACTAAACATTGATTCACAGTTTTGTGTCTATAATGCATGGACCCAATTGTACGTTTCATGTGTTTATCTGGAGGCCGCACCGGTATCAATGACCTTTGTCATTTTTTTATTTTTTTTTGGGGGGGGACAACTTTCTCCATCAAATGGATCCCTTCCTCTTTCATGGCCACTCTCATAAGTCAACAGAATTTTATTCTCCATGTTAGTTAAGAGTTAAGACTTGTGAACAAGCTGATAGTTCCGTGTAGACATCATTCGATAGTAATGGCTATTGATTAAGAAATACAAAAGATTGTTGTTAATTTGTGGACTTTAGGGAAATAAATTCTTTACGAATGCGTTGTTCTCCTATTTGATGGACACTTTCAGTTTCTGTTTCACTGGGTGATTTCGGTGGCCTTTTGGTTAGGCTACCAGATCCGTAATCGTGAGATTGCGGGTTCGGGGGTACAAGAGTCAGCTCGGTTCGACGTTGTGTCTTTGGGAAAGCCACTTTACACGAATTTCCTATTTGGCTCGGTCCTTTAGGAACTGGCAGTTAAACTCGGAAGTCACACGTCTTTACTAACCTAACAGTGTTAACTACATACCATTTTTTCACAGAGACCGCTCAGTGTCTTTCATGGTGTTCTTTGTCATATGACCAACGCTTTCTATAGCAAAGACATTGGTATCGGTTTCCAATACTGTACGAACCGGATATTTTCAACCTTTGAAGGCAGTACTAAAAGACCAAAAAGCATGAAGACGGACCACGATTTACTTTTTGCCAACAAATGCACCCCGAACGCCAGTCGCCAATGCACAGTCAGACATGCAGGGAAACATGGACCTATCCTCCTCAGCCAGTGTCCAGTCACAATTTAGACAAAGAAAAACAAAACAACAACACAAAACTGCCAGCCCATGCATCTTTATACACATTACCGTCCACGGCCAGAGACCAGTCGCAGATAAGTTGTCTACTTTGGCAGCACCCTATCAAGCTCGGCTAACACGAACGTGAAGGTGGCCAACAGGATTGCTACAGTCAGCACAGCCATAGGGAGACTCTGTACAAAGTCTGGGAGCGAAGAGGACGGAGCCTTTACACAAAGCATAAAATGAATCGCGCAGAAGTTCTGACTTTCACTCTTGACGCATGTGAAATGTAAACACAAACACACACACGCGCGAGCGCGCATACACACACACACACATACACACACACACACACACACACACACACACACACACACACGCACACACACACACACATACACACACACACAAACACCAACACAGACAGAAAAAATAGACAGACAGACAGACAGACAGACAGACAGACAGACAGACAGACAGACAGACAGACAGACAGACAAACAGACAGACAGGCAGGCAGGCAGAAAGACAGAGACACGAAAATAGACATATTTATGAAAAAACAAACCGGTCACATGCACGCACACACACATTCTCTCTTTTTCTTTCTCTCTCTCTTTATCTCTCTCTCTCTCTCTCTCGCGCTCTCTCTCTCTCTCTCTCTCTCTCTCTCTCTCTCTCTCTCTCTCTCCCTCTCTCTCTCACCCACTCTCTCTCTTTGTGTGTGTGTATGTATATATATATATATGTGTGTGTGTGTGTGTGTGTGTATGTGTGTGTGTGTGTGTGTGTGTGTGTGTGTGTGTGTGTGTGTGAGTGTGTGCACAAATAGTATCTGATTAACAAGACAAGGCTTCCCTTCTTTACGCTTAGTGATCCCACTAAACTTTCCTTTCTCCAGAAAACACTGGTTCAGTTTAGGTAATCATTTTTACCTTCTGGCATTGCAGGTACTGTTGGAGGTACTGTCGGTACCGTGAGTTAAAGTTGTAGTAGATGAAGATGTTGACGTTGGCGTTGAGAGTGGAGAATATGAACATGATTTCCATAAGGGTAGATATGAGGTTCATAAAACGTGGCTGTTGGCCCAGATCGGGCAACACTCTCCTGGCGCTCACAAAAAGCATAGAGGGTAAGAGTAGAATGATGGAGGCCAAAGCGACCAGAAACACCATGGTGACCACTCGGCTGTCCTTTCTGGACAAGGCTCTGGTGTTGTTTTTGTCTCCAGGTTCCGCGGACGTTGCCCGCTGTCTAAAACCTGCTGAGGCCCGGAGGCGAAATGCCATAAGAATAGCGCTGGTAGTGATTGAGGCCAGACTCGCGTTGTGAAGGAAAAGTCTATGAAATGAGTTACTATACTTGATAATTTCTCCTCGATCCTCTGAAAACCACAACATCAGATGTGTTCTGTTTGTGGTGACGTCATATTGCTCTCGGATACCTTGACTAAGTTGAACTGGGATGTACGACACGATGGTACCACAAGTGATAGCTGTACTTATGACAGCAGCTTTTTTGGTTGTGAAGAGAGTTTTGAACTTGAGAGGCCAGGTGACACACAAACAGCGCTCTAACGACACGAACACCGTAAGGAGAAGGGACGTGTCTACAAACATCTCCCTTGTCCACGTAGAGAGCAAAAACAAGTAATTATATAGGCCGTAGGAACCAGGTATGTAAGAATTGTCAGCTTTGGTGACGCTTGACAAGACATTGAAGAGAGTGGTAAAACAAAGGAGAAAATCAGAGGTGGCTAAGAACAAAACAGCCATAGTGACACAATCTGAAAGTCCAGTTTTGGTGAACACAATAACGTTCGTTATGTTAAAGAGAATTCCACTCACAGAAAAAAATGGCAGAGACACGAACAGGAATGCAATGTCAATGTACCACTGTACGTGATCGTTAATAATAAACTTGCTTCCTGCCTCTGACATGTAGCCTCGTATGTCACCGGACTCAGAGTCGTTAGAAGACATCCTTAATCAAGCAATAACTGACAGCGCAACTATGTGTTCAGTTCTGTGGTGTTTCCCTTGAGTTGTTAAATCGTTATTTCTCTCGTCACGCCAATGGTAACAAAGTTGTGGAATCTTTAGTGTTTCTGAGAAGATCCAAGCCTGTTGTAAACAAAATCAAAATCTCATGAATACAATGAAATTAAGCACGGGGGCTGTTTTAATCGTGTGTTGGAAGGTATGAAGAGAACTTTTAGCTCGCAGACCTTTGGAAGTCGTTTTACATAAATAACGCTGAACTGCAGCAAATAATAAGTTAAATGTAGGCTTAGAGTACTTGAATTAGCCGGTTTCTGTCACGAAACCAGGATAATCTTTCTTCTTAACAATGAACACCGTGTATATACTGAATGGCATACGTGCAGAAACGTGATAATAATGAGCGTGTGGTTCAAAGATGACGTTCCCTATCGAACTGTAATAGCTGTTTCTCTTATCAGAGCGCAGAAACGATAATAATATATCATCACGTTATGGAACGTACAAAAATTCGGGCTCACAGATGTTGCTTTGTATACCGATTCCGTGTGTCTTTACCACCTTGCGCAGTCTAATTGTCTTCAATTATTTTCTTTTCCCATGTCTTGCTCTCAGTAAACACTGGAATCAGGGAACACCCTTTGTGTTGATCGTTCGTCTGTAATTATGTAAAAGTGTCAAAGCGTGACAGGGGACTGTACCCCCCTCAATTATCTTTCGATCCTCGTTAGCCATCTGTGAAAGTGTATTGAAGCCACGATAACCAGTTGTTTTTATATCTGCCTATATTATTCTTAACACCCTAATTATAAAGTAGACTCTTTCTTCTCTGTTCTCCGGTAGCAAACAAAGACCGTAAACGACTTATAAATGGTACTCTCAGATTTAGAGAAAAAAACCGGCCGAAACGCTCTTTGCTCAGGTGGCGTCACTGTCGTTGTTTTGTAGCTTTGTTCTATGTTAAAAGTGGAAAGTTAGACCATTTTATTCAACACTTATTGTTATTCCACTTTGCGATCAGCCGTTCGGTGGCTTCGGGGGTTCGGTCCTCAGCTAGTCCAACTTTGTTTCCTTAAAAGGCACTTTACATGAATTTCTTCTAAGGCTCTGACCTTTCGAAGATGGACGTTGAACTCGAAGGTCCAGCTTCTTAAATAATCTAATAGTGGACCGTTGCGTGGTGTCACAGAACAATAAACCGCCAGGTAGACCAGCACTAATTGCAGCTTTCTTTCTTTTAATAGCTGGTCTCCTCCGGAGGGTGGCATCCTGCAGCATTCTGTTAGATAATATGTGACGACCCGTTTTGGTCTGGTCCGTAGCACATCTGATCCCGGATGGGCATTGTCTTGCAGCAGCGGTTTGTAATACAGGTCTCCGTGCGGCACTCGAATAGTGGCGGGTCGTACGGAGCAGAACTGACACCACATTTCGGGCACAAGTCATCCGGGGTAAAGCCTATCCTAAGGAGGTATGACTGTAGGATCGGGCTCTTTATGTTGCACCGTAATTGTGGCAATATTTCTTCTGGGGAGATCTATTTCCTTCCGCTGGTGGTTTCACGTTCCTTCCAACAGAATCATGTACTCGAGTGCGCCCCCATTCGTTGTTATCAACATATCGCGTAATGCATGTCCTTGCCGAAACCTGATATATTTGTACGTTTGCTTGGTCCATTCAACCACCTTGGTTCTTCTTGTCGATCCTCTCAAAAACAACAGCATCCGATATGTTTTGTTTGTAATGACGTCATATTGCTCTCGGATCCCTCGATGTATGCGTACGTGCGGGTGTTAATGAGTGTATTTGTGTGGGAATGTAAGTGTGTATAGGCGTGTGTGTGTGTATGTGTGTGTGTGTGTGTGTGTGTGTGTGTGTGTGTGTGTGTGTGTGTGTGTGTGTGTGTGTGCATGTGTGCGTGTGTGTGAACGTTTAGATAAGGCTAAATTTTAACAACAACATTATATTATTATCATAATTATTATCACTATTACTATTATTATATTAGTATCATTGTTACTATTATTATTATTGTTATTATTATTATATTATTATCATTATTATTATTATTACCATTATCATTATCATTATTAATATTATTATTATCATTATTATTATTATTTCAACAGGCAAGCACAAATGCAGACAAACGAAAGTAAACTCTCTCCAAGAGGCTGGCTGCGGATAGAGACAGGCAGAAAAGCACACATGTCATATTGCTCAGTGGCTTCGAAAAAGCATCCCGCTAATCTTATCGATCCGCATAAATCAGAGCTCACGCAATCAGACCGCTGGCTACAACAGCTCAAAAATGAAAATAGGAAACGCACATTTAATTTCGAAGAATTAGCAATGTCTTTTCAAAAAGATCTGTCATCGGATCTTCCATCTGCAATGTGGCCTGTTGGTTATGATTTGATCTATGCTGATGAAAAGGCTTATTTTTATTTCCACGATTTTATTCCTCACATTGAAATATTATTAAAAACGAAATAATCTCATTTATATAACGCATAAGCATGTTCTACAGCATGCTCTTTGAGCTTTGCAGCCATCATTATCTCAATATACATTGTAACACTCAGAAATACTCTTGGCTTACCGAGAGGCAAACAGTGTAGGCTGCGGATTGCACGTGCTTAAACACTAACCAACTGACAAGATCTTTCGAAGTCTATAGCCAGGTACCCATTCGAATCTGGATTAAGGGATGGGATGAAAATTTGTGTAAAGTTCAATTCCCAAGGATACAAAATTGGTCCTGTGACGGGATTCGAACCCAAGACCTTACATCTGAGAGTCTGAAGTCAAACAAAAGAGAAGTGACGCCACTTAGACAGGATAAAAACGCTGAAAGCATAATTTGGCATATTTGGGATCAGTCAGTCTTCTTGACAACGCATTTTACGAAACGCTTAAATCGCATTAATAATTAATGTTTTTAGCCAAAGGCAAGAAAACTGAGCAATAGGCAATGTCTTTTTATCTGAAATAAAAAGGCATTGCGCTTTTTAAGTGGAAGGATTTGAAGAGAGAAAAGACGAATGACTGAAAGGTGAATTCTCTACTCCGTATCTGAAAGTTTCGAAATTTATATTAGGGGAACTGGAGTTCTTCCAGCTAAACCTTTGTTACAAAGGCATGTAAGTGGATAAATGAACGGTTACATTTCCTAAGACCCTATCTTATTACAATGGAACCACGGCTTACAGTCACATTAACTTTTGCCACTGGGGAAAAGATTGCTGTGTTAAAGACCATAAAATTGTAACATATATGATCCTTTAAATGAGGTAAATAAGATCCCTGAAAATTATCCCTAGACACTACCACTTTTAATCGCTACATATGTGTGAAAGAGATAAATAACAATCATAAATTTCATTTATAATGCGCATTTCCTCTACGACATTACTCAGTGAGCTGAACAATACCACAAAGAACACAGTTCCCATACTGATCTTTTCACTTCATCCTTTCCTCTCTCCCTCCCTTCCTCCCTCCCTCTCTCTCTGTCTGTCTGTCTCTCTCTCTCTCTCTTCTCTCTCTCTCTCTCTCTCTCTCTCTCTCTCTCTCTCTCTCTCTCTCTCTCTCTCTCTCCCTGTGTGTGTGTGTGTGAGTGTGTGTGTGTGTGTGTATGTGTGTGTGTGTGTGTATGTGTCCACGCGTGTGTGTGTGTGTGTGTGGGCGTGCATGTGCACGTGTGTGTTTTTGTTTGTGTACATGTGTGTCTGTTTGCAAATGCATGCGTATGCGTGTGCTTGTGCATATCCGTGTTCGTGTGTGTGTGTGTGTGTGTGTGTGTGTGTGTGTGTGTGTGCGTGTGTGTGTTTGTGTTAACTTAAATCTTAGATAAATTTCCAGTAAGAATTTAATATAGAAGTCTAATCAACTGCATCATATCTTATTTTAATCATGTGTCAACATAATACAAATACACGATCGGCAGTGTTAGTGGGCTTTTTTTTACTTTACCAAATGGAGGAATTATAGCAGATTTTTTGGGGGCTCTATAACTATAATATGCCGTTCCAGTTCAGAATGGAGTTGTTAACAATCTTTCTTTAAACTGAATTTACTGTTTACTTTATTTCAATTTTATTTTACTTTTTTGTAATGTTTTGATTTCTCCTGTTTGTTTTGTTGTTGCTTTTTTGTTTATTTAGTTTAGCCGCTGTTGTTGTTTTTGTTGTTGTTGTTGTCTTTGTTGTTTTTTGTTGGTTGGTTGATTGTTGTTGTTTTGTTGTTGGTTGTTTTTTTTTCAGTCACTACTTATGCTCTGGAGCATTCCAAAATATTGATTCAAACGCTCAAAGAAAAGAAAGCTGTACAGAAAAAGGACTGACTTTATGTCTAGTATAGTTTTCCCATTAGTTCGAAACCATATCAACCGCATCCAGAGGTCGTTGATCGGACACGCAATTATATGTGGTTGTACAGGAGATCGCTGAAGGATATTTGAATAGTTTTCTTAACGATAATAATAATGATAATAATGGTTCTTCCAGCAATGTCTGACGATGTACATCTTATCTGCAGAAGTGCATATTTCTCCAGCAAAAAAGAAGAATTAGAAAACTTAAAGGTTAAGATCAAAATGGCTTGTGGCTTCTGCTGTGGCCGAATAGACCAATTCTAGTCGGGAACATTTTGCCACATTTTGAACATTATAAGCTTCACTTTCATTTTGGATGTACGTGGCTTTTGGGCTTCTCTCTTGGTTTTAGCATTTCTTATTGGTGATTTGCTGCTTCTTTCCAGCTGCTCTGTCAGGGGCTAAGCCTTCCTATGTTGCAGTATTTATTTTGAAGTCTTTCAGAGACATTTCCAAGGTGTACCAGTAGCGGGTATTTTTCGGATGCCAACCTTACGCTTCCCTGGGGATACTTTAGAATTGAATTCTTCCTTAGTGATTATAAAGCCGGGCATTCTTACGACATGGTCAGCCCAGCAAAGTTAAGTCCTTTCAAGCTTAGAAACAG